AAAGCATAGAACAGAATGGACTTTCATATTGTGATTAGGAGAAAGATGGGAGAATAAAAGACACAACTAGGTAACGTAACCGTTTCGTATTGCGTGTGTACAGAGTCAAATGTAAGCAATGGTTAATCATCCAGAGGTACATGTCGACTTTTAGCAGATTTTAGTAGATTTCGTCACATATTACAACTTGAAAAGCTTCTGGTGTTGAACTACGACTTCATTTTTTGATATACTCAAGCGCTGATGCTCCCTTTTCGCACAACTTCCTCATTGCCCTCTGTCTGAGCACTAAGTAAAGCACTTTCCTCGTCTACCTCCTTCGTTTTTGATACTGGTTTTTGGTGAGGCTTTTGCAATGCCGACCATAGTGTACTTGCAATGACAATAGATCCGCCCACCAAACTCCAGCCACTCGGAAGCACGCCCCAAATCGCCCAGTCAAATGTCAGAGCGAATAAAACCTGACTATACAACATGCTCGTCGCTTTGCTGCTCCTGTCAAGCTGCAGTCCGGCAGTCAATAGAAACTGAAGACCAAATCCGAGAACACCAAGAAGGGTGAGAAGAATCCACTCTCTCGGCCCCTGGGGCATCGTGAAGCCCATGCCAGGGAGAACAAGAAGAGCCACCGCAGAGCCGACCGTGCCCAGAGCAGCAAAGTAGTTGACAGAAAGTAGAGCGTGGGCTCGGTTTCCAACGACTCTGATCATGGTATATGCACCTGCTGCACCAGCAACACCAATGATCGAAACAACGATGGCCAAGATACGCTGAGCAGGAGTCACTTCATCAGCGTCTGCTCCGCTCGCATTAATAACATCGTCTTCTGAACCGAAGATGCTGCTTGGATGGGCAATGATAATCACACCGACCAAGGCAACAAGACCTGCGATGAGTTCTTTCCGTGTGAAGATCTCCCCAAGGAAGACCGAACACAACCATGCTGTGACTAGGGGCACAAGAAATCTGAAAACAGTGGCTTCAGCGAGTGGGAGGTAATGTACCGAATCTATTGTGAGTCAGTGTCGAGGTCTTGTGAGAAGATTCGGGATTTTTACAATACAAGCAGAACAGCCCAGCAAAGCCAAATACAGCCCTGAGAAGCAGCCATGGTCGAACACTTCTCTCTCCGAGTAGGAAATTTGGCACTTTCGTCCACCACATGTACAAAGTACTCAAAATAAGCGTCGTGATCATGCGTGCAAAGATGACCTAAGATGGTGAACAAATTTTCAAACGAGGGGAATCTGGAAAGACAAACCTGGAAAGGATGCATGCCATGCTTGCCTTGCTGTAGGTACCGCACTATGGCATCTGTGGATGAACCAAAACATTCAGCAAACAGAATGAGTGCTGCTCCCTTGTTATTCTGCCATGCCGATCTCCAAGCACTTTGAGACTTTACCGAGTCGTATATCTCTTCCTCCTGATTGCTGGCACTTGGAGAAGCCATCGTTAAGCTCGAGGCGCGAAAATATTGAGAGCAGGCGAATGAGAATTTGAGACGATATATTGGAAATAGGAAAACGCTGAGTTGATGGAGGGGTTAAATACAAATTTTCTTTGCCCCCACCTTCATGATCCTGCTGACCGATAAATGAGACCTCGGAGGACGCATCGGCGCATTAGCTCAAGGTAGCTTTTCGGTCTACTTTCTTGTTCAACATGCTCAGGAGGCGTTGCGTACACTTGCAGCGGTTCTAAAGTGGTATCCGTATCGTGAATTGGCACTCCTGTTCTAAGGTGCGGGTTTTTGGTGGAAGAAAAGTGAAATGTTTTGCGAAAGTTCGAGACGTATGAAATCTTTGGTGCGCCACGTTTACCCTTAGAGGATCGTCCGGCTTCGGCCGCTGAAATTTAGTGGGTTGGGCAGGGGAGAATTGAGATCCGACATTCCAAGGCATTTCAGGGCAAGTGCGGGGTACCTTCTAGGCTTTCTTGCCTGAGATATAGCGCCCGAAGAAGCACTCCAGGTAGGTCGTCACTCAACTACAAGGCATCAACACCAAACGTTCAGGCCCATAGCCTCTCAAACCACTGGCTGCTCATGGTGTTGCATCACTGGTCAAATACCCATAGTAAATTCATCTTTGCTGTTCCAAACTCTCTCTCTCTCATGTCAATTACTAAGGAAAGTCGTCTTCAAGAGTGGGTGAGAAAGAAGCTGACACACCACTCGCCTTCAATACACGTGATGTCCAAGCGGAACGGATATGAACGGCCCGCGGCAAGTGTGAACGCCTCAACATTTTCCCCTTCACGAATTGGATAATTACATTCTTCGAGCCCCATTGTTCATCAGCATCAGCTGCATCCTTCCAAACTATGAGTGAGCCTCCTTCTAAGACCACCGGGATGGCTAAATCCTCAAAGCCAATTCTATGGAATCATCCGGAACCTGACTCGACTCGCATGGCGGGGTTCCTGCAGCGGGTGAATCAGAAGTACAACCTCAAGTTGAAGACCTATGACGACCTTTACAAATGGTCAATTGACCATATCGGTGAATTTTGGGAAGATATTTGGGACGTTTGCGGTGTTATTGCTAAAAGGAGGTTCACCGAGGTAAGTCAGGGCTGCTTCACGTCCATGGTCACGTGCCCAATTGGCATTCTTGCTCTCGATCAAAAAAAAGAAGAGCTGACCAGCGAGAAGGTTCTTCCGAAAAATGCTCCGATGTTTCCCAGACCAGACTTCTTTTCAGGCTCTCGTTTAAATTTTGCTGAGAACTTGTTACATCCCGCCAACGTCAAAATCGACCCCGCCTCCCCCGCCATCATTGAAACCACCGAGAATGGAAGCTCAAGCATCAGCTGGACTAAACTTCGAGAGCGAGTTCGGGAGTGTGCTGTTGCTTTTCGCTCTCATGGTGTCAAAGAATCGGACCGTGTTGCCGGCTTCCTTGGAAATCATGCCAATGCTGTTGTGGCGATGTTGGCAGCAGCTTCTATTGGAGCTATCTGGACCGGTGTAAGCCCTGATACAGGTGTCACCGCTGTGTTGGAGCGATTGGTGCAAATTGGGCCCACGGTGCTGCTTGTGGACAACGCTGTGGGCTACAATGGCAAATTTCATGGGAGTTATCAAAAGGTGAAGGAGATCGTCGAAGGTCTGGAAGGGCTGCAAGCCTGCGTTATGTTTGAGACTGTGAAGGGATTCGAGATGAAGACTGAGGGCTTGAATCCAGATGACGGGAGGGCTTGGACGTATGGGGAATGGATCAACAGGTTAGTCCTCCCACCCGATGTGAGATCTAGGCAGCGAAAGTCGTCACCTGCTAACAATTGCAGTGTCGACAATAGGGAAACACCCCTTGGTTTTACTCAACTGCCACCATCTCATCCACTTTACATCCTCTATTCCAGCGGTACCACTGGTGCTCCGAAGTGCATCGTTCATTCTGCCGCTGGTACATTGGTACAACACAAAAAGGAACACATTCTTCATTGCGGCATCCAACCCGGAGATAGAATGCTTTATTTCACCACCACAACTTGGATGATGTGGCATTGGCTCGTCTCCGCTCTTGCCTCTGGTGCTACCATTATTCTCTATGACGGGTCTCCGTTCCACCCACACGGCGATCTCTCAATGCCTCTGCTCATCCAAGACCTGAAGATCACACATTTCGGCACCAGCGCCAAATACCTCTCTATTCTCGAACAGAAAGCCCTGCAGCCAATGGAAGAACCTCATCACATTGATCTCAGCTCTCTGAAAGCAATCTACTCAACAGGGTCTCCGCTCGCTCCTTCCACATTCAACTACATCTACAACGCCTTCCCATGTACCATAAATCTCGGTTCGATCACTGGAGGCACAGATATTATCTCCCTCTTCGGTGCACCCTGTCCATTACTTTCAGTACACGCTGGTGAGATCCAATGCAAAGGACTGGGGATGGCCATCGAGGCATGGAGTCCAGACGGGACAGAAGTTCCCGATGGTGATGAAGGCGATCTTGTCTGCGTTAAACCTTTCCCATGTCAACCAGTCACATTCTGGAGCTCAGCGCCGAACGAAAAAGGTCAAGGGAAATATCGAGAGGCATATTTTGAGATGTTTCCTGGAGTGTGGCATCACGGTGACTTTGTACGGTTTGAAAAAGGCACAGGTGGATTGACTATGTTGGGAAGGAGCGATGGGATCTTGAAGCCTAGTGGAGTGAGATTTGGCAGTGCGGAGATTTACAACATCTTGTTGAAGCACTTCCCAGATGATGTGGAAGATGCGATCTGTGTCGGGCGAAGAAGAGAGACAGATCCCGATGAGATTGTGGTGCTGTTCCTGAAGATGGCTCGAGGAAAAAGTTGCGATGATCATCTGAAGGATGGTATCAAAGCAGTAGTCAGGAAGGAGCTTTCTGCGAGGCATGTTCCTGGTATCATTGGCGAGTGCTTTGAAATTCCGATCACAGGAAATGGAAAAAAGTGAGTCCCCGCACATGTGACCGAAGGGATGTTGGTTGCTGACCAGGCTTTTCAGGGTTGAGATTGCAGTGAAACAGATCTTGTGCGGTATGAACATCAAAGTCGGTGCCAGTGTGGCGAACAAGGAGTGCTTGGATTGGTATCGTGAGTGGGCAGCAAGTCATTGAAGACCTGGCAGGGATATCTCATAATGATGAGAGACCCTCAACTTCAAATCAATAGTGGTTAGATTATAAAAAAGTGCTGTGCAAGTTATAAATAGCCAGAGAGGTCTTCACCAGAGTTGCTCGATGGAAAGTTATATCAACTTAGATTTCTTCGGAGTTCCATCATGGCCCTTTCTTCCGAACTTCTGGAAACATGTCTCCCGACCTAGGGCTTAATATTACAGGCCAAAGCATGCTATACCAATACAAAACATGCGTAGACATCCCACAAGATGTAAGAATTTCAGATAGATGACTCACAAAGTCCTTTCTAGCTTGAGCTCAGCCTGTCGAACTTTGTCACAATTCCACAAGCATCTACATAGATTTAACTGTGCATAAATTTAGCGTATACCAGATGGAAAGCATGATAGCTCAGTAGGAAGAGCGGTGAGCTCATAACCCACCCATAAGCCCCTGGATCGAGATCAGTTCATGCTACAAGGTAGTTCTTTTTTTGCTCTTTTGCCATTTTCTCTCGGATTCACTATATCATCGAAGTTTTGCTGCAATTATATTATACTGATGCCTCACAGAATTTTTTTATTGCTCTTAGCCACGGTAGAGCCTCGGTATTTGTTAGCATCTCAGACACTACACAATCTCGGTCAAACACGCCCCCTTTTGCCCTCGCTTATCCTCACTTCAGCACCTTTCTGGCAATGACACGGTGCTTTCCACGCATTGACCAAGTCATACCTCATTTGGTAATCAAGCTGCATCCGCTCTATTGCAAGTCATTCGATAAGGCTCCTTCCTAGCAACCCTTTTCATGTGCATCACTTTGAACAGCTTTTTGGCCATTCCAGCCACCCTTTCCATTCACTCGGAAGCTGCTCCTCAATCGCATAAATAAGTTGAACATCTCGTCCATGTAACCACCAGATATCTAGCTCATGACTTGTGTTAGTTATGACAAGTTCATGAAGACATAGTTGATAGAAACTCGCCATTTCGGTATCGAAGCGTAGTCGCAAAATGCGCCAGAATAATCAGAGCTTCCGGCGTCCGTTCCCTCAAGCAAGAACTGAAATGTTGCGACACTTTCACTATCCACACCATCATACTGCCCAAATCAGGTAGGTCTTTGCCAGTTGGACTCAATCGCAGTTCGGCCATGACGGCCTCCAGCTCGTAAATAGCTTGTGTGTAAGCGAGGGCCGCCTCCTTTGTTCGCTCGCCTGTGACTTGTGAGAAAGCCTCACGCAGCTTTTGCAGCTCAGGTATTGATTCGTCAGGTACTCGTTCATTCCCCATTGGCCGCACCAGCGGTCCGAGCATGCTGTTCCGAATCCTCTCACGGAAAGGTTCAAGTACAACTTTGACACCTCGCACCAAGAATAGCCAGTCAAAGATGCTGCTGGAGGTATCCGCATTGTCATGTCCATGTCCATGTCCATCGATCCGTGACAAAGCAAGCGCATGAGGCACAAGTAACGTGCTGAATAGGAAAGCAGCTTCCACATTGGACTCGTTCACGTTGTCAAGAGTGGAATGGAATTCCTCCAACGCTTTGTCATGATGCTCAGAAGCTCTGTCGAGATAGGAACGATCCTGTTCAGGTCTCAGACTGCTGATATGAAGGGCAGAGAATGCCAGAATTCCACGAAGTAAGAATACATGAGAGAATGCGACCCTGATAGCGTGTGTTTGCCAGATGTGACGGCCCTCATCAGTCCTTCCTAGGGAGAAGTATGTGACTGTACTGAAATGGTGGAGGAGTTCAAGATCGATGAGCTTGAGATCCAGATAGACGTCTCCATTTCCATCAGTAGCTTCTGCGTTTGAACTCAGGTTGCTAATTGAAGCAGGGGATTGGCCAAGAGGGATTAACACATTGTTGGGTGTGAGCGGGGGTAGGATAACACGTTGGGGCTGAGATGGGTGAACAGGCGCGAGGGGAGTTGAAGCCTCTTTGAAACTGCAATTCAAGAGCCGATAGGTACAGTTAGAACAGCTAGGGTGTTGCTCGTCACACTGTGCCCAGTTAGTGATCCAAACTCCGTTGATTTTTGAAGCCTGGCAAGCTCGGGACACCGCGAAATTCACTAAATACATACTTTGGCGTGTCGACCTCTGCATTGCTTACACCCATTCCTCGATTTCTTGTGCGGGCGCCGTGTCGACATTCCACCATAAGCAGCAGGTTTGGTGCATTCAATTCTTGGTGGCTGCAAGTTGGAGATGTAGTTGAAGATTTCTTTACCGGCAGGAGCCGACCGCTAGCTCGCGGATCAAGGTTCAACTTATCCACCACGTGATGCCCTCTTTCTGAGACGGACCTGACCCTTAGCAGCAATTGACACTTGAGGGGTTAGTTTTACCAGTGATAGGTTACCATTGTCCGGCGTCCCCTAGAGATTTGTGATCACGGTGAAATGTTGTCCAATCCAAGAAAGTCTAAGACACCAACCTTGGAAGGCTTGAATCCTTGATTTATGCATACTTGATATTTTTGTCGAATAAAGTCTAGTCTAATTTGAGTTCCCCGTCTTTGGAGATGCATATAGCACCCCAGAAATCTATTCAAACTCCCGAAAAAGAACGTGGAGTACAAGAAATAATGCCTAATCACTCTCAAAGTTTGACCTGGAACCTCGGATTCGTTCGAATACACTCTCCATACTTCCAGAAAAAGAATGGCACAGGCGACATCGCCAGTGCAATAAAAGCTAACAGCGAGTTTCCCCAGCCCAAGCCCAAACGTGAGTACATAGACGGTCCTGCAAGGGGTAGCAAAGCACCAAGGAGAGATCGTAACACCGTGCTCGCTGCAATGGCGGATGCAGAGTATATTGTGAATGCGTCGACAAGATATGTTGAGATTGGCATCTGGGCATATCAGTGAGATTCATCATGTGAAAATTGGGCTTGCTGAGGGATTTTGACACTTACAAAAGTTGTAATGAGACCCAAGCCAACGAAGCTTGTTCCAATGATGGGAACAATCCAGAACACATGATATTGCGCAGTCCATCCGTAAATGAACAATCCAATCGGAACGAACAATGCACCTGGGATCATGATCGGCAATCGTTCTTCCGGTGTCAGCTCGCCCTTCTTTGCTTCCAGTATTTGTACTGTCTTTTTTGATGCGATACCGAAGAGTACAAGACCCGAGAGCATTCCGATGCCGATTCCAAGATAACTCAGGCCAACGATGCTAGTAGAGAAGCCATAATCGCCCTCGAAGACTCTGGTGATGGTGGTAAATAAGAGATACAGGTATCCATAGACAACAGCCATGTACAAGGAGAACAAGATGACGATTGGCGAGAAGAGGAGCATTCTCAACGGCAATGTGATCGACCTTTCGAAAAGCCGCTTCGGACTCAAGCCTCTATCAAGCTTTGATTTGAGCATGTCATTTCCAGTCTCCTTCCTCAGTCGCTTGCATTTGAGTTCCAGAATCCTGACTGAGTATGTTTCTCTGAGGAGGAAGTACATCGCAATCGTCAATGCGCCGGCCTGGACAAATGTTAGATTCAAACTGTTCGTTGCCAGGTTGGGAAGCTGCTCCACTGGGAGCACCCAGGAAGGGGGACGTACCACTATGGCTATGACCCAGAACACCCATCTCCAGCCTTTAGCTGCAGTTAGAAATCCCCCAGCAACTGGGCCAATCACAGGTCCAAGCATAGGTCCCATAGCCCAGATCGACATTGCCAGAGCTCTCTCTTTAGGCGTGAACATGTCTCCAAACGTCCCTCCACCAATTGAAATAACCGTTGATCCTGCAATACCTGCAAAAAGTCGAAAGCCAATGAGCATGTTGAGACTTGAGCTGACAGCACAAGCTATGGTGAAGATGACGAAGAGAGTATTGGAGACATGGTAAACCGGCGCTCGACCGTACATTTCGGAGAAGGGTGCAATGACCAAGGGACCTGCGGCATAGCCAAGAATGTAGACTGTTCGAAAGCAGGCGTCAGCAAGCTGGAAGTAGATAGGGTTGCCTCCGATCTAAACTAACCTGAAACAACCAAAGATCCCAACAGACTAGAGGAACTGTGGAATTCCTTCAAGACATCTCCTACACCAGGAGCGAACATAGACGAGGCTAATGGTCTATTCAAGAGTCGGCATAGGTCATAGCAGCAGACAGCGGGTCTGCGAAAGAGACGTCCAACACTCACGTAACCAATGTCATAATGGAGAGCAACAAACCATTTACCCATTTCTTTTTTGGAGTCCAGTTGAGTGGATTTTCCGGATCGTCAGGGCCATCCCAGTCCACAATATTTGGGTCTTCTGAATTCTCCTGCGAGCGATCCTTCTCGGAAGTCAAGTATGAATCTATGCCATCAGTGCTGACATTGCTGTCCGCGGTTGTAGGGTATGCAATGGCCGAGGATGCCATCTGATCCTCTTCTTTCGTAGACATGTTGCACTGGATATGGGTTCTAGGAAACAGAAATTCGAGAACCCAAGGACTATGTATATATGGGAAAGTTATATATTATGTACGACTTGCACAAAACTTCATGGAATCTCTCAATCCGAAATGGCCTCAAGACTAGCGCGGATTGATACGATGCATCTGCCAATCAAGCTTTGAGCTCAGCGTACTCGCTTGATAATCAACGCTAAACTCTCCCTGCAATCTCACAGCTGAGTTCTAGCTCCTGGGCACTCCCTTTTCAAGATGCAAGAAATAACGATAAGACTGCAAAGCAAAAGGAAATATGAGGATCATTCGGCGCTGAAGAAAACACACATCGAAACGAAGTGGATTGCCAACGTACGGAGCATCAATTCAAACAAAGGCAGTCGGACAGCAAAGTGAATGGTTCGAATCGGTTTTCCTCTCGAAGAGAAGAACGATCGAATCTTGTTCAGCAAATTACTTCGTCCTCGGCACGGTCTTCTCTTCCTCCAGCTCATCAACAATCGCCTCCGATGACTCCCACGTATCGGTATACCCGGTCCGGCCATCCTTCCTCGCTTTCGACATGCTGATGACGATGTCCTACTCGCGACCATGGCAAATCCTCACAACCCCCATGCAGCCTTCTCCAGCACATCCTCTTGAAAGCGCTCCCTCTTCGCAATCTTCGCCCAGGCATCTTTGACTTCCATACGATGGCTCCGCTTGGTCAAATTGATCCTTTGCCGTATTTTGCCTTGCGCAAGAGCCGTGCTCAAATTCATGAAACTGCCTTTGACAACATCAGTGACATTACTGTGATATCTGACCACCCAGTCTCAACCTCCTTTCTTCGCAGTTTTGTATAGTATCCGCTGTTGTGTGTGGTAGAAAGTGGGTGGTCGACCTTGGCCATCAATCCACGGATCTCTCTCCATGAGATAATTGACTGGTCCAAGATTCACACTGTATTGTGTCGCACAGGTTGTGGGGAGATACGCTCGAGATTCTTCTCGGTGCCGTTGGTCGTGAGGGCTTCAGGGAAATTCTTCAACATTGCTTCTGCACATCATCA